TATATATATATATATATATATACACATACACACACACACATCACTTTCATGTAACGATGCAACTTTGTCTTTCAGCTGAGGCAGGAAATACATGGACTGCAGTTTTGGAGTCATATAAACAAAAGCTGGACAGAAATTAGTTCATTTGAGAGTCCTAGGTTTTCCATTGCTACTGAAAATAAACTAAACTAATTAAATCCATCAGATTATTTAGACATAAAAACCAGTGGAATTTGGTTAGAACATTGGAAGCTCTTAGAGAGAGGAAATAGCCATGCCATCCTAAACCACATCTCAGAAATGTGATGTCAGAAAGGCAACAGAAAAGGAAAGTTTGGGATCTGGTGGACCGGCTGCTTTAAAGTTTTAGTGCGGTATCGCAGCAACTGGCATGGTGTTTTTGTTACTGTTACAACAGTAACATGCCCGCATTCAGTATACACCAAATTTATCATGCTCAACGGAGCTGGAACAGATCCTGGGGCAGCTGTGGCACTGTTTGGTCATTCCAAGCTGCAACATTTCTTGTCATTGGGAAACTGACAAGAGACGAGAAACACAGAACCGTTTGGGGCGAAATCTCATTCCACAGCAGGAGCAAAACAACAGAGTAATGACACACACTGATAGTCTGCACAACATCTCCATTTTGACTGTGTACTTGCAATTTCGATTTCTCACTGAAATTTTCTGCCATGCAAACAAACTGAACATAAGGACTCTTAAACAACCAGCCTGTGCCCCTAGAATGCACTGCTATGCTTTTTCTTCAACTAATCACACACCCTAAGAAAGAGAAGAAAACTGAAGCGGACCCATTTGGCACAGATCTCTGCAGTAAACAGAATAACACGAAGCATACCCACTTCCCGAGCCTGGAGCGCAGTAATAAGGTTGCCTGACCCCACCCACATCCCTTCGCACACTAATCACAATAATTAGAGGTCTGAAAGATGCACAGATCAGTGACGTGAATCACGCATGCTAGCACGTTAATGAAAAGCTAACTACAGAGTCGAAGCAGACAGTGACCACACAGAAACTTGAAGTGCTAAGACACAAGCAATGCATGTTTTTCTTTGTGGTTTGTGAGCATGCACTGCATAGTTACAATCGCCGTCTGGCCTGGTGGCATGTTTGCCTCATCCAGGCGTATGCACGCGGATATTTAGACATGTTTATAGTGGATGCTCTAAGGAAGGTGATGTCAGCCTTGTGTTTGGGTTTACTGTCATGGAACCATAAAGCAGACACAATTATATAATAACCACCCTGACAGGAGACTTCAGGCAGGTTATTCAACTAATTTAAAACACAGACAATAGCTAATCACAAGACTGCAGGAAACAAGACAGAAACAATAAGAACTCTTGTCTGTGTTGAAGAAGTTGAAGTGAACGTAGATAACAGAGATGTAGGTCCTGAGAACTGGTCCAGCTAAATAAAAGACACGGGTGTCTGCTCTGATCACTGTGAATGCACTCAGTTCGCTAGAGGCATCTTTGGAAACCCGAGACACACAGCTTCAATGACACATTTTTTTAAGACGCATCAAGCTCGAAGACACCGGCCTCGGGCATAACAATGACGGAACAGAAAGAAAATCTCAACACGACTGTGACAGACTGAGGGGAAGATATAAAGAGGATACAAACCCAAAAAAGTATACAAAAAAAAATAAAACAAGACAAAATGTTACTGAAAAAGAAATTAAGATAAGTTTAAAGTACTGATAGAAAGAGTTGCAAAGAGGAGTAAAGCAAATGGAGTAGCAAAACAAGCAATCCTAACAGCATGGGACCAGCTAGAGAACGTTCACATGCTTTCCCAGTTCACCTCTGCTTTAATGGACATAGCTGGAATTCCTGGCTCTCTCTCTGTTGTAGCTCTGGGATCCTTTCCAATGAACAACACAGAGCCGAGGCCTGTAGCTCACCAAACACCCCACTGCTCTCACACACTCCAAACTCTCCTCTACAGCGCCCAATGACCCTGACACGGCTCACCTCTGAATTAACATCCAAAAACAAAAGCAGCAGAGGAAACATACTGATCTGTTAAGACTTCACAATCAATCACATTCAAACTAAATACCTCTGACTAAATAACTCCGAGTAAATAACTCTGAGTAAATAACTTTGTTCAGAGTAATAAAAAATTTGAGGTCATAGGATGTTACTTTAGGAATAAAACACAATGAGGCATCCTGTTATAAGAAAAATAATGAAGCAATATTAAAATAATGAAGCTCAGAATTATATTATTTTCAAACTCTGTGTGTTCTAGCTACACTATATGGCCAAAAGTATGTGGACACCTGACCACTGAACATCCCATTTCAAAACCATGGGTATTAATATGGTTGGTCCCCTCTTTGCTGCTAAAATAACCTCCACTCTTCTGGGAAGGGTTTCCACTAGATTTTCGACTGTGGCTGTGGGGATTTGCCCGTTCAGACACAAGAGGCCAGGCATGTTCCAGTTCATCCCAAAGGTGTTCAGTGGGGTTGAGGTCAGGGCTCTGTGCAGGGCACTGGAGTTCTTCTACTCCAACCTTGTCTTTATAGGCCGCACTTTGTGCACAGGGGCATTGTCATGCTGGAACAGGTTTGGGCCTCTTAGTTCCAGTGAAGGGAAACTGTAAAGCTACAGCATACAAAGACATTCTATACAATCGTGTACTTCCAACTTTGTGGCAACAGTTTGGGGAAGGAACACGTATGAGTGTGATGGTCAGTGTTCACAAACTTTTGGCCATTTTTTTTTCAGTTCCTGTTTTTCTCTCTCAAGGGTCTCTTTTTTCTTTAAGTTAATACATGGAATTAAGCTTGTCTCAAAAGCATTGAGAGAAAAAAAACCACAGCTTGTTATGTTACAGAGAAACCGGAAAGTCCTCTGTCCTGAAGACCTGAAGACTCAACGGAAAACTTACTGACCGTTACAAAATGCTGACACCCGAGACTCCTTCCATAAATGTTAAATACATTTCACCTGACAGAAAGCTTCATCATATCAACGAATATATAGTTTCACCATTTTTAATCTGTTTAGTAATAGTCTGAACTTGGTACCCTGGTGGACTAGTGGCTAGCATGCGGCGCTCTCATCGCCATGGCCCGGGTTCGATTTCCACTCAGGGAACCAAGCCCAGCCGCTGGAGGGTTGCATGAGCCGGTGCACTCTCAGTGCCGGTCCCAAGCATGGAAATGGGGAGGGTTGCCTCAGGAAGGGCATCCGGCATAAAACTTCTGCCAGAATCAATATGCGGACGAGTGATCCGCTGTGGCGACCCTGAACCGGAGCAGCCGAAAGAGATGGAAAAAAAAAAAAATTAATCTTAGATCATGTTGATCATCTGACATACGAGTCCCTGTGAATTACCATAGAAACGACAACATAATTAATATAAACCTATCATTTAAGTTATAGCCATAATTACTGTCAGAGTTGCTGTTACAGAAAATTAATCAACACCTTCCAGCCAATCAGATTTGAGAACTGACCAGTGCTGTGATATAATGTTATCCAACAAACAGTTGGGTTAGTCAGTCACCTGTGCTGTTAAGTAAAACACAGCCAAACCATGATTTCATCCTCATTGAGGATGTAAGAAGCGATAAAAATATTACACTTGACCCAGTTCTCCCTTTTTGGTTCCTGAGTCACTAACAGGCCAAGCAAAACACCTTTGAAATTTTTAGATTCTCTATAGAGGCCTGAATGAATCATTTAACACAAATGTAACAACCATTCCTCTTCTCCTGACTGATCCACTTCATGCCAGCAAAATCCACCCCATGCTGATGTGACCTTGACTTCCAGCTGTTGCCAAATTTCTGACCCTTCCTCCATCTGTCATAGTAGTTACTACTCCATCCAATCTCTCCTTCATAATTAATCTCCTAGAGACAAATGTAAAACCAATTTTTTTTAAATGTGTTCACTAAACAGCTACCATACCACATCATGCAGATTTCCTGTGAGAAGTATAATAAACATGATAATTAAAAATCATCCTGAAGTGAGCCATTTGCTCTGTTTGGGGATTAACACTGGCATTACACTTGTGGAAATAAAATGTAACCTCCAGTGCTCAGAGTAATACCTCTCAAAAATGAGAAGAGAAACATCATTGCAGAAACAAAAGTGGCAGTGTGGGTGACAGGTACATGAAGTGGATCTATCATTTAGCACTTATGTGTTCAACTGAGCGGGGTTTGTGCGATAAATCATATTTTACACAGCATCACGTAAAGAATGCATCAGTGTTTCCGACGGCTTAGTCACAACCCCTCATAACACCCCACACCCCAACTCCCAAAAAGAGGAAAAAACAGGAACCCAAACTGCAAAAACAGGCTTCTAGTAGATTCTGTTTCAGTCTTTTGAAAAGCTTTAAAACACAAAGCAATACTAAATCCTTTCTTTCCGACTTGAAAAGCTGCCAAATCAAAGCACGTCTAATCAGGGCTTGGACTGGCTGCTTGGATTAGAATGATGAATTAAACTGAGGTATTACAACTTTAGTTGAACATTAGTTGATAGAGCTATTGTACAATAGGTATGCATGTGGTTATAAAATTATCCAGATATTTTTCATTTTCTTAATTGGGTCTTCAAATAAGGCATATGTGTTATGGAACAGAAATGAAATGAATTTTATTCTGTATAGTTTTTTGACTGAGTGTGTGATGTAGAACCACAGAGAATGTCAGCACAGAAGCAGCTGATGATGTTGCGTCTCATGTAGCGTGAATTGGGAACTTCTAAGCCCACCTAATTATAATGTGAATCTAGACTAGCTTCTTCTGTCTCATTGGAGAGTGTTTTTTCTACAGCAGAATTTATCGCTAACAGTTTGTACGATATCCAGTGGTGTTTATTGCCGATTATATTATGTTACCAGACTTGCCAAACATTTTGTGTAGAAGCTCCGCAAAAACATTGGAGTATGCAAGTACGAATTATCACTCAAAAATCAGAAGCCGAAAGAAGAGTCTTTTCCTCCGTAATAAAATAAAAGATGAGCTAATCAATATGTGAATCTGGAAGGATTTGTGTAGGTGTTTTGAACTGTCCTGGAAGCCCCACCCCCTTCCCCTGATCTCGTCTCGTGCGGCGATGCTCACATGGGCTCCCGCACTTTCCGTCAATATAAATGGACAATGTTTTGAGTTTGTTAATGTGAAATAATATCTAACGGTGTACGTTCAACTTAGCTAACATTAGACAACTATAGTACTATGCAAAATCTTAGGCATAATATTCATTTTTTTAGTAGTAATTTTGTTATAGATGTTTATTTTATGACTTCTGCATTACTGAGTCATTATAACAAAACATTATATGATCAAAAATTATTTTTCCAACAAAAATATTAAGTTACAGAAAACTGGTTGTATGTATACAGTACTGTATATATTTAACGTTGGTTTATTATCAACGCTGAGCAGCATCAACAGAGAAAATGTCAGCCATTTGGACATTTGGACATTAGACAACTGAACTGTAAAAGGATTATATTGAAATGAGATGGTTTTTTTTTTTTTTTTTTTTTTTTTACAGTTTACTGCCTATAACTGCAGAATCGCTTAAAAATCCACCATCCAGCTGAGTTCACACTAGTAAGCAATAACATGACAGAAAACCACTCATTTTTCTATGTACGTGACACAGAGCCACGATTACAACCACAGTGTCTAGCAATAAAGTGACAGCTTGACAAGCGACGTTTCAATTGCGATTTTCTCAATTCTATGCGAATTTAGTTTGCTGCAGTACGGTGACAAATCCAAAAAACCGACTTGAACGATTCCTCAGACCAACCCCGTAGCAGCACTTGTGATCTGATATTAATTCAATCCCCCATTTACAGTTTTAGTTCCAACCTGCAGTCAGGTCCCATTTATTGTCTGATGCACAAAAATGGAAGAAAAGCCTACCGTGGTTTCATTTGATCCTGCCATATACAGTAGGAGCTTTCATTCAGTGTGTGTAGAAACATTAAGTAGAAAAATAAAACTTGGAAGGACGGAGTAGAGATCGTTGGTGCTTCTGGTGAGTGTACTTAGCTAGTACAGTAAGCTTGCTTTGCTAGTCTTCTAATTAAGCCTAGCATGTAACATGTATATCAAACATCCACTGATTAGGTTAAAAAAAAAAAGTGTAACTAGTTAGCATGAGCAGCAGTAAATATAGCTACTACTGTTTCTCATCATAAGACTGGAAGGTACACGCCAACTGTAGCGGTTGCTACATGCCCACAAGAGGCAAATCCAAGTGACATGAGTGCTAGTCTAATGCAGGGTTATAGTCATAACAGTATAAAATATTTGAATATTTTGATATTTGAATATTAATGGTTTAAAATGTGGAAAGCTAAACGGAATAGCAACACTGCTTCAAATGCCCATCTCTGTTGTACATTATTTTGCATGTTCGAATTATTTCCTATCAGAAATGACCCACCATGTGTTTAATAGTCCACAGCCCTTACCAAAAATGGTACAAATCAGGTGTTTTACCAGGGTGTGTATGTAGGAGTGCAGGAAGAGCTCAGCCCTGCATGCCATTCTGCTAGTTCATTCTCTGGTGATGGGAAGAGACCGTGTTTCTCACACTCCCCTGTGAGGCTAATTCTACACTGATGAACCATTTCATGCTTGTAACCAGACCCTTTGAACCAAAAGCTCACAATCCTCTAGGCTGAGTTTGAACCTGTGTGTGTAGATCCAGCCCACACACTTCATGGATCTTCCCATAACATAAAGCATTTTTATATAGACAATGAACTTTTATAGATATACAAAGTTAAAAAAAAAAATAAAGCTTACCAAATCAAATGGATTTTAGTACATGAACAAAAACAAACTAAACACGATAGAGAGAGAGTGTGATAAAGCAGCAAGAGCACTGTGCTCTGGCTTAAATGCAGTTTATGGTACTATGGTCGTGTTTAAAGACTATGGATGAAGGGTGGGCGTCAAGCCCAGACTGGATCACACCGACAATGCCAGCTGCTGGTGTGTATGTGTGAGAATGTGTGTGATCTCACCTCATCCCTTCAATTTCCCACCATCTCAGATATAACTGAGCTCATGGGTCAATGAGAAGAGTGGGGAAGAGTGAATTCAGGGCACGATTCATACAAGTTCCTCATTAGGGTAAAGTATTTTCTGTTCTAACGCCAGCCTCTGAGTAGGAAACAGTCATAACCGTTCAAAAAAGACACGAAAAATGATGCCAAAGTAAGGAGAACATAAATGTGAAGAACTTTCATTTGAAGAAGGTTGATTTGTAAAGATTAGCTATTTTCATTTCCATGCATGGTTTATCATCTTCACTGTATCTTGGATTAACACTGTAGGAGTCATTTTACGACAGGTCACCTGGAGAGATAACAATATTCAACACTATATCTATGACAAAACACAACGGGTTGTTGTGACTGTATACCAAGATTTTAAAAAATGTGGCTTTTCTGAAACCAAAATGTGTTCTAACTAATGCTTAATAGACATGTCACAACTTAGCCATTTACTAGAACATTTCAGTTAAAGTAATAGCACTTATGCAAATCCAGGATGATCCACATCCTGGCATTGTGTGTGTGTGTGTGTGTGTGTGTGTGTGTCTGTGTCGGTTTCTCTTTACATAACAATACCTGTGGAAATAGTATGAGAATGTCCGATGGTGACTAGTGATAGACAAAAGTAGGACAATGGCATGCAAATTTCAAGAAATTATTTTCTTGGAAACAAAATAAAAACAATGTCAGGATGAACTATTAAGCACTAGACACAGCACGTCTGTTTTAAAGGCAGAGCGTGACCCATACTCAGCCAAAATACAATAAAATTAACAAATCGTGCATTTTCTGAAACTGAAATTGTCAAACTGTGTTTTATTGTGCATGAAGATCAGCGGGTACGACACACAACACCACTACGTTACACCCTATGTGTTAAACAAGCAGAGATCAGATTCAGCTTACCTTGAAGATGCATTATATGTGGATCATGCATAAGAAATATCAGCAACAGGAAAATAAAAACAAATCCGAAATATTTAATTGTATGATAACATTCATTACAATTACTGAAGATTGCTTTGTTGTACTTTCAGATAGAAAAGTCATTCTA